ATCCTTAACCCTATGCAATCTGGATTCAGATCAAAGCACAGTACTGTGACTGCCAGTCTGAAAGTCTTAGACGATATTAAGGCTGCTTTGGATCAGAAATCTGTTTGTGTTGTTTATTGACCTAGCCAAAGCATTTGACTCTGTAGATCACCACATTCTGTCTAATGTTATGTTGGTGTCTCGTTTCGGTCATAATGCCATTTGCTGGTTTCAGAGTTATCTAACCGACCGTACTTAATGCGTCAGGCTGGGTAGCACTACCTCTGACCCAGTCCCCTTGGAGAAGGGAGCTCCACAGGGCTCTATTTTGGGGCCCTTACTCTTTTTATTATATGTCAATAATATTTGTAATCAGATGCAATTTTCTACCTATCATATGCTGATTACTATTGTATACTCATGTGCTCCTTCTCTGGATATGGCCTATTTAAAATCAGATGTCATCACGCTGCAGCATGCACTTCTTGATTCTAAACTGCTTTTGAACAGTAAGAAAACCAAAGCAATGCTTTTTGCTCCCAAGTCAGCGTCCTCTTGCCTCTCCATTGACACCCTTAAAGGAGTCTCTGTTGAGTTTGTCGATACTACTGTTAATTTCGTCAGCTATTTTTTTATTTAGTTTTAGTCTTAGTCCTGTGTTAAATTTCCTTTTTAGTTTTAGTCATATTTAGTCACCTTCATTCTGTTTTTATTTAGTCAAGTTTCAGTCGACTAAAAGTCTGAGCATTTTAGTCTTATTCTAGTCGAAGAAAACTAATTATTTTAGTCTACTTTTTGTCAATTTAGTCATCAGATTATATAGCACATTTCAGTCAAACTAGTCTAGCTAAAACCAATAATTTGTCATTTTAGTCAAACTTGTTTCACAATAACATTATATCTTGTCCTTATTTGATGAAAACACAGGTTGATTAAGAAAGCAGCTCTGCAGAGTATCGGGTCTGGTTTGTGGTGTTTTTACCGGCTGTGTTATGGCCACATATGGCCTTCTGATGAAACAATGCATTCGCTTTTTTTCTCCGCCTCATTGTAGTGAAAATGGGCCCAAAAATCACACCTTTTCTTTCTCCCAAGCAGTGGTGGCTTTAGACTTTTTCGTTGTCAGTCATTTTGACAGACAGGATTGTAACATTTCCGTCATAATCCATTATTACCCGTCGAGTGCACAATTTATCACTCACTCGCGCTGACGGGGGGGTATTCTGTTAACGCGACCACTGCTCCCAAGCCCTGTTGTTGCCATTTTATTTTCTGTTAAATAAGGTTAGTTAGACCATGAGTTAGACCCGAGTCTTCCTGAAAGTGATATTGTGCCGCTGCCCGGTGTAATTCAAATGTACTGCCGCGCGCAGCACAGACACACAGCTGCTGCCCAGCCGCAGCACCGGAAATGGAACTGCTGGGAGAAAAACTGACTATCAGAGGTGTAACGTAATCTTTGATAATATTTCGTCTACTCATTTTTCGTCAACGAAAGTAAAGAGAGATTTTGGCATAGTTTTTATTTAGTAAACTACATTTTCGTCTCGTCACTTTTCGTCAACGATATTGCATGATGATTTCGTTACAGTTATTGTTTACTGCCGTCGGTGCCGTCTCGTCATCGTCTCGGTCATGGAAAAAAAGGTCGTTGACGAACATATTTCGTCATAGTTTTAGTCAACAAAATTAACACTAGGCTGCATTAGACTCAACATGCATTTACAGTAGTCCGTTAGCATCTGACCTTACATTGTATGCTTAATTGACATGTTCATACCTTATCCAGGGTGCAGTACTGCTCCAGAAAGGGGACACGGCGTACTTCTCTGGCCATTTGCATGGCAATCCCCAGGGCCTTCATCTTCTCCTGGACGCGGCACATTTCTGCTCTACCGGTGGAGAATTGAGTGTTTAATGTAGTCAGCTGACTCATCTGCTCATCCTTCCTGTTGACAGAGAGATCACATGCTTCTGTTATCCTTAGAACAAGTCTGATAGGTACGATTAACAAGATAAAATAAACAATCTGAAGAGACAAAAAAGTGTATGTTTACAGATCTCATATGAATTGTTTCCGGAAGAAAACAGATAACATCCATACCACTTCTCAATAGCTTGTGAAGCCTTGTCTGCAGCTTGCATGATCTCAAACTCCAGCCGAGCTCTTTCCCTCTTCACCTGATCTGCCAGACCAGTCTTAAGAGTCTGCAGAGATGAAAGAAGAATATAGTTTTTGTTAATTACTTATTCGGTTCAAATATCAATAAATATGTCTAAAATCAAGCCCTACATTGTGTGTGAAGTTTACCTCATTGATTTTGTCAAGAGCAGCATGATTTTTTGCAGCCTGGACCAACGCCTCATCCACCGCCATTCTCATCTTCTCAATATCAGTTGACTGAATAAAGCACACAAACAGGGAGTTATTTTAATATTTTTTGATTTCATTTCCACCTAGAAACTTCTTGGGTTCACACCATAGACTGTAAAGGTTCACATCAACCTACCTGCTCAACATCCTTGGCATTGGCGTTAATGCCCTTCAATGGTGATGATTTGTCCTTTTTGCGATAACTTGATCTGCTGCAGCTCAGGAGAATAAGACACCAAAACAGTTAGGTTAGTAGCTACTATCTTAAAAAATTATAATAATACAGGTAATTTTAAAAATGTATAACAGCATTTTACCTTTTCCGATTAATTTTAGAGGTGTAGATGAGGCCAATGATTCCGCTATCTTCCTGCAGGCCAAACACCCCACCTTCAGGAAGGGTGGAGTCCACCTGCAGAAAGTGAACTTTATGTATTTATTGACATCTCATACCACCTTTGCATCCTTGAACTGATGCTTCAGTATCCTTATGACCGTACCACAGCCTTGAGTTGTACAGTACCACCTCCTGTTTTACACAAACATTTCGGTTCGGTACGTACCTCGGTTTTTAGGTCACGGTTCGGTACGTTTTCGGTAAAGCAGCAAAAATGATCGCAAAACATAAAATATTTTTGGGGGGTTTTTAATTATTAAATTGTGAATAATGTATTCACTCAAATAAATACAAAATATAATCAAATAAACATTAAGGTGCAGCATTTCGATGAACTGAAATAATCTGTATTTGAACTTTACTGTACTATTACTCACTAAACATAAAATATTTATTTTGGGTTTTTAATTATTAGTAAACTGTGAATATTCACTCAAATAAATACAAAATATAATAAAATAAACATTAACGGGCAGCATTTTCGACGAACTGAAATAATCTGTACTTGAACTGTACTAGTACTCACCTAAGCAGCCAGCTTGACATTAGAACTTGCTTGTCATTGTATTTTCATGTTTTTTTAACACGTGTACGAAGGGCCCATACTGAATATTCGGTACGAATACGTATACCGTTACACCCCTACTTACATTGTGAATAAAAGTAACCAACGGGCCATGATTATTTATAGAGGGAATATGTGACATTTATTTGCTTCTTCGGCTTGTCAATTTTCTTTAATATATACCAAACCTCATTTTACAATGCTACACTTATTTTATGATATAATTACTGCTGCTAAACTTGTCCACCTGAATGTGTGCTTCTGTAAGTTGTAATATATATATATTGTTTTTTTTAAAATGCTATTTTGTTTCTATTTCAGAAATATTTTGGACTGTTTATTTCTTGTGTCTTAATTACTCTTATGTACATTGCCTTGTTTTTTATGCTGCTGCAATGAAAATTCCCAAGTTGGATCAATAAAGTACCGATCTATCTATACTTTGCTGTAACAATGTACATTTTCCATTTTAGGGACGAATAAAGGAATTCTGATTAAGTGCTAGACTCACAAAACAAATGATTTACTATCAATTTGGTAGAGTTACAATAGCTACATTTTAAGGATGCAGGCAAAAATAGAAAATAAAGATTTTTCTGACTTTTGTTCAATTATGAGATGATTTGGTCCCTACTTGAGTCACTTTACCTTACACTCGGGACATGTGATGAAATCGTCATTTTCAATGGACAGCAGGCAGGATGTGCAGTAGATGTGGGAACATAAAAGCGCACGAGGGAGGTTGCCTTCAACTTCGTCCTCTGAAAAAGAGGAAAACACACAAAGATAAGCAGGAATAATGCAACTGCAGTGTAAACTATTTATGCAAAATGCAATGCATTTTTATAAAGGTGATATTACTAATGTGTGTTTATTGAATTGGCCCCTAGCCCCATCATTTTGCAAAAAAAGGGAGAGACAGCAAGCGCATTTCGTGGCATCTGCAGGCAGTGGCAAGTATTTCCGGCATATGCCACAGATGCCACAACTTGCCGAGGCATCTGCCGCTGCTCAACGGGAGTTGCCACAAGATGTGTGTGCTATTTAAACCCGTATTTATCGTGTAAAATGTCGCTGTTTAGGCATGACTTTATCGAGCTGATCTGTACACAGGACTGATGATCTGTACACAGGGTTGGGTTGTAACGGAATACATGTAACGGCGTTACGTAATCAGAATACAAAAATCAAATAGCCTTCTGTATTCAGCTCGCGTTACATTTGAAAAACAACTAATCTGATTACAGTTACTTTCGTAAACCTAAAGTGAATACATTTTGGAATACTTATTGGAATTATTGTTGGAAAAGTTTCCTCACAAAATGTAATATTCATTACTGGCAGAACTGTGGGCACACTGCACAGCGCTGTGAGGCCCCGCCCCCGCACGCAGATGAGAGAGAGATCTCTTTTTAAATATATTGAAAGTTAGAAACGGAGATGGTTCGATAAAACGTGCAAGATAACGTTTATGTAGCATTTCTTTATTGTCGAAATGATGACATTTCATAACGGGATAAAATCAGAGTGAATGGCCTGCTGCTGCAGAAGGCATGGGGCAAATATAACTGTCCTTTGCCTAATTTAAAGTAAACCTTAGCATCTCACTAGCAGTGGCAACTGCAATCAGTTACAGCTACCCTAAGTCTGTAGCCAAGTCTAATAACACCAGTGTACACGTTGCTGTGTCAATACAGATATTTATTTGTATTATTTGTCTTTACTAGTCATAATACACCTGGTTTATTGTAGCAAGCAGTGGAAACTCCCCTCAAGAAGCGACAATTGCCAAGGGCGTTGCAACCCTCACTCGCCAATATTTCATCATAAATATAGCACGTTTGTTTATTTTAGCAAACCATGCTCCAAGTAAAATTGAATAGAAATGATAATATATAATCTTTTTGAAAAATAGAGATCGCACATCAGTCCTGTGTACAGATCAGTTCGATAAAGTCAGGCCTAAGCAGCGACATTTTACACGATAAATACGGGTTTAAATAGCAGCATTTGCCACGGAAGGCGAGTGGCAGCTACCGTAAAACTTCTCTTAACTCTGGCATCGTGTGGCAACTCCCGTTGAGCAGCGGCAGGTGCCTCGGCAAATTGTGGCATCTGTGGCATTTGCCGGAAGTACTTGCCACAGATGCCACGGAGTAGTAGCATCTGCCGGAAGTACTTGCCACAGATGCCACGGAGTAGTGGCCTCTGTGGCAGATGCCGGAAGTACTTGCCACTGCCTGCAGATGCCACGAAACGAGCCAGGCCCTACTGAAAAAATTTCCCCCAGGCAAAGCAATTTTGAATATTCCTTACATTAAACCAAAAACTTAAGAGCAACTTTTTCCAACTTATTCTGCTTGTAAATAATAATGGGGAATATTTTACTTGGAGTTCAAAGGGCAGGTTTCGAGTCACACTGGATATTTAGGTTGTTTCCTACAAAAAATGTATCCGTTGCGTTGCTATTGCTAACCATGTAAGCTATTGAGTTTCGGCCATGTGTTGAGGCTCTCATATAAGCATGCTTTGCAGAAGTGACAAAATCTTCAATCGACGATTTTATATGATACGTTACATTTAACACGCTTCAAATACAGATAAATATACTCGTTATGAGACTTTCGAGCACCTGCAATTTGCACAATTGGCATTAGTTGCATTAATTAGCATACATTATGCAGACAAGAGCTACAAAATGCCGTGGCCGATTCGGACAACTTTGGTGTTTTTATAAATGTATATTGAGGATGCGTAATCAATTTCTGACATTTGCAGGATTAAAAAAAGTCAAGTTTTAACCAGAAAGTGGCCTTATTTGTACTTTTTTTATTCGATTTTAAAGTTGATTGAAGTTGGTTTTAACGTTACGTTATAAGGGACTCAAAAGCTGCCATTTTGTATCCTTAAAATGTCGGAAATTGATTCAACACCCTTAATATTCCTCATAAATCACACCAGAACTGTCCAATTCGGCCATGCCATTTTTTAGCTAATGTCACATATGCGTAATAGTGCTAAAATATCAAACTTTTCAACATTTCCAAAAACTATTAGCTAGCTGCTACTGTCTTGCTAGCTAGCTAGTACTAGCTTCCTAGCTAGCAGACGAATTGAGGTATTTCAACTAGCTTAAATTATCGTAAAACATGATTTATGCGAGCTCTACACTAAGAGAAAAGGACTGTAAACTTCCTACCTGGAAGAGTAAAGGCTTCTCCACATAGCGTGCACATCTCAGCGCTGGGGTTATCGCCTTTTCCCATCATTTTTTATTTCAAGTGTAGAGGGGCTTTCTCCGTGGATGGTTTTTCTCTCGTCTGAAAAACCAGAGAAGTGCGGTCGTCGTTGTAACCTGCCCACGTGGTTCAGGTGCGTTCAATGTCCCACCTTGAATAATGGAGAATAATTTGTTTTATAAAAAAACAGCAGTGTACATTATGCTTGTCCAGCCTATCAAACTCACAAAATGTAAACATTGAATACAATACACTTTAGAATTCACATTAATTAATCTATTGAAATGCCATACTAGTCATTCCTAGCATTCGGTGCCATTTAGGTCCCCACCACATTATATCATATATTTTGTATTTAAAAGGTCTAATGCTTATTTTTTAAAAGCTTGGCTTTAAATGTTTATATCCTCTACCATAAAACAACAATGTTATTTAGGATATTAAAAATTCTAAATAATTACTCTGATTTTAGCACAAGTAGGCCAAATTGCTGTGTCCCCAATCATGTTTGCTCAACTTCTGTAACAGATATACAAAAATAAATCAAAGAAATACAAACAAATTCTACATTTTTGTGAGTGTTGTATGACCCTTTTGCTAATATTCCTCACCAAATTGAA